TAGCTAGGACTCCATCATTTTGGCTAAGGCAAGTTGTCGCCTAGGTGGTTCTGGGTGTCACCCAGTTGTTTCGAGATGCCATGTGTCATGATGTTAGTGGAGGGCCAAATCTGCCCTCATCACCACCCTAATTTCTTCTTTTTCTTTTGTCTCCCTATTTGTGCTTGTGTGACAGAGAGGGAGGTTATTTTCTTTCTTCTTTTAAGTCAAGGATTAAAAGAGTTTCCTAACATCTCATTCCACTAGAAGCTCTTGTTTTCAGGATCACTACTAAAAATGAGGTTCTTAGAGGACAATTCTTTGTTATTGATTAGATTTTTGCCTTTGTTTTATTTTGATGTTGTTCTCATTGGATTCTTTTTCTTCATTGTAGGTCCTGAATCTTCGTGCATCTCATCTTATAAGTTCCTGTAACAAAAAAAAAAGGAAAAAAATGTCTATGTATTTATCTTGCTTATTGAAAAATGAATTCGCCTTTTCCATGCTTCTTTAACATATATCTATATCTGTATATATATATATATATATGATTCTGTTATTGCATTTTCCATCTAATAATTTAGATGTGGTGTTTCGGTTTGGTGCACAGACATTTGATACTACTAGTATGGCATTCAGTTCACAAGCTGCAAAGGAATATGACCAAGGATCACCACCAGAATGGCTGCATATGCAGATCGGTAGCAGTTTTAAAGATCAGCACAATTTTAGTTAATTCTCGTAAATTGACAATAAGGACATCAAGCAGCTTGCTTCCTCTTCCAGTGGTTGCCAACAATCATATCCTCTATCATCTTAGTTCAGAGAAAAATAATTATTTATTTGGGTAATTACAGATAGGTACCCTAAACTTTCAATTACAACACTTAAGTACCGTGAACTTTAAAAAATAAACACATAGGTCCATCCGTTAGTATTTCATAAGTTAAACAGTGCATAATGCCAAAAATACTCTTATCATGTATTTCTAAGATCATTCTCAGGTAACTGAACATCTCCCATAGTGACGTTCTCACATGGACAGCAAATAACATATTCAAATTTTGTGATGATGGCATTTTCTAGTGATGATTTTACTCTGTAGAACGAATACATGAGAAGGGTATTTTTGACATTATGCAATGTTTAACTGACAGAATACTAATGGATGGATCCAAGTGTCTATTTTTGAGAGTTCAAGGTACTCAAGTGTTGCAGTTGAAAGTTCAGGATACCTATTTGTCACTACCCCCAAAGTACATGGTACCTATCTGTACTTTACACTATTTATTTTTTTATGTGATATGGAGCTATGCTTGGTGTTTATACGAGTGAGCTTCATTTGAAAATCTGAAACAATCTCTGTTTCCTTGTGTGCTAGGGATTCATTATTTACCTTCATGTATCATTTGACAGGAAATCCTCTTCTTGTTGTATCACTGAACTTGACTTAAACCTCCTAGTATGTATGTTGTTCTTGAACTCTATTTAAACCTAACTAAAGAAAAATGCTTTTTCAAAATTTCTATAAGCTCAACCATGTTTTTTATTGGTAAGTATGAAGTACTTTTATTGATTTGTATGAAATAGTACAGCTAGCCTCCCTTTGATTACAAACTATCTCAATGTTGAAAAAAGAAATTACAGACTATCAGAGCCATGTCTTTGGCATTTAGCTACATTAAGAAGCTGAGTTATTTCTGCTTTACTGCCGGCATTGCTATAATGGAAGAACTTCTTTTCCTGGCCATTAGATCTTGCTGAGTTTGCCTTGTAATATCTGATTTGGATGCATTTTCGTGGTTATATATTGGTAATCCTGATTGAAACACAGGATTTGATTCTCATTGATAGCATGCATTCCATGCTGCCTTGAAGAATATGCAAGCTTTTTTTATCAATAAATATGCAAATTCTTTAGTCAGTCGATATGTTCAACTATATATATCAAAGTGTGAGTCCTTTCCACTACCTCTGTCCACTCACCATGCTCCCCTGGGTGGTGCTCTTCTATTCACATGCACCGATGCACAAACCATCTCGGTGTACTTTTCTCTCATCTATATTTATAATATAAAGAGGAAAGATGAAAGATGAGGGCTCCCTCGCCACAAAGTTGACACAGACCTCTTCTCATGTCTCACACTTGTTTAGTTATTTTTAAATTAAATCATAAAAATTATAAGTTAAAATAAAAAACTCTCCAGTCTTAATTGCTTTCAATAAAATCCATTGTAACTCTCACCAATTGAAATCCATTGGACCGGTCTGTTTAACTGAATAACCGGTGATCTGGTTCCTGTTTTATAAAACCGCTCGTTTAACTAATTGAAATTTTAAATGTGTTTAATAAAACTTGAACCCATGACTTTGTATTTTCAAATATTTTTTAATTATGATTAGTCCACCTCTTAATTGTGTTAACTAATGATTTTTTATTGTACATATTACTTTATTATGCATATATTTTAATGACTCTTAATTACCATTAATCTACCTCTTCGGTTGAACCTCTAACTTGTGAATCTCTCCCATTTCCAGTTCTATGTTTGGTTTAATTCTCTAAACATTGTTCTCTCTCTCTCTCTCCAATGGTCAATATGACATATTCCCTCATCCCATTAAATCCCAAATCTGAATCTATATATTAAAACAAAATTGTCTAGACATTGTTTTTTTTATTTTTTTATTTTTTTTATAAAATGCTACAACTCCTAAAGGTATTAGAGATAACAAACACTTCTAAAGACTTCTTTTTCCAAATTAATTACTAACATTCAATGTACCACTAATATGTGGCAATTTTGGGCACTCAAAAATCGATGATAAGTTTTATTGGCTTTCGTACTTTTTAGCAGTAAATACGTAAGTTGGAAAAGTATTGCCTAAGTTTTTACTTTATTAGCAATTTCTTATTAAGATATTCACAATCCTACCCCTCACTCTAATATACTCTATTGGCATGATTCCAATAAAAAAAGCTTCTAATGTTTGGTAAGGTAGATAGAGTGGATGGTCTACCATAAATTGAATGATTTAATTTACAACACAGGCTCATTTTGGAAATAGTACAAATATAAATATGTACAATGCAAATACATATAAAATAATACAAAATACAAGGTTTTATACTCTACAAATTTGTATTTATACTCCTAAACTGAGCCATAGTATACAGGATGGTATAACATTTTTTACTTATAATAATTATTAATTATGCTAATAAATAGTAATTATTAAAATTAATAACACCTATTTTATTTTGCCCATTTATTTCACTTCTCATTATGATGTTATGACTCCATGCAAAACCTCAATTGAATTTACTTTTGACCTAAAAATGATTTGGGCATATCATGTGTGTTTAATGTGATATGAGCGCACCATGAGTGATTTAATTTGATATGGGCACATTGTAGGTGATTCAATTTGATATGGGCATGTCACATGTCATTTTATTTGATATGGTCATGCTGCATAGGGATGCAACATGGGCTGGCCCAGCCCGAGCCCAAACCGGCCCAACCCAGAATTTTACACGGGCTGGGCTCGGGCCTAGCTCTTAGGTAGTTCGAACCTGTCCCGAGCCTGGCCCAATTATATATGTATAATTTTAGAGTGGGTTCATTGACCAACCCGAGCCTGGCCCGAGCCCGAACTCAACTCGAGTGCATCAAATTACAAGGCGGGCTGGGCTCGGGTTGGAAAAATCGGGCTTGACCTTGGGCTCTGGCCGGACTCAGCCTTAAACTCAAATTTTAGGGCTGGGCCTAAGTCGATTATAAACCCGGCCCAACCCGCCCGACTTGCACCCCTAAGGCAGCAGGGATTTAATTTGATATGGCCACACTGCATGTGATACACCATGATATGGGCACACCACCAGTGATTTAATTTGATATGATCACACCACATTTTGCATCCCATTAATGTACATGGGGTGTTGATGGAAACATGAAGAAGACTTTATCATTTGGGATAGGGCCGCAAATGGATAAATAATTTATTGTGTAGATAGACCCAAATTTGTTGATCCCTATTATACTCGTATCTCTAGTAATGCAGTATATTTTCACCCAAAAAAAATTTCTTATACATAGAAAAGTGCACCATCTAACTAATCTTTACTTTATACTTGTCAAAAAAAATAATGCCACTATTTATTTTAAATTCACGTTCATACCACGGTGCAACTTGGGCAAGCCAGAGCAAGCCGAGACTGACCTAGCCTGAAATTCTACAAGGCAGAGAGAGAGAAAACCTTCATTCCCTACCCCACCTCTCTCTTCTGCCTTAACTTTGGCTGTTTGCTCCCAACAGTCTATGCTGTTGAGAGCGTTTTTAGCCTGGACGCGTTCACTAATTCACATCCATATCTATGATTATAGTTAAAAAGAAATATGAGCAATTACTATTTTACCCCACTCTATAATAACGTGGTATTCCCAAAAATATTTTCAACAGCAGGGGGGCCAACGACTCCCAACAACCAAAGTTTTTCCCTTTCTTCTCTTTCTATTTATCTTCTTTATACAAAACACCAAAATCTTTCTCCTGGGATTCCTCTACTTCAGACTTGTTCATTTCCTCTTTAACTCTTATATCTTAAGAGAAATCTTTTAATTTTAAAAGAAAAATGGTTGTTCGTTTCCTCTTATCTCTTATCTCTTAAAGTACAATCATACAATTTTTTATTTTCTAATGATACCCCTAAAAGAGACGAACAAAAACTCTCGTATATGAGATCAAAATGGATATTTTATAATTTTCAGAATTCAGAATAGCATTCTCTGCATTCAAGTTCAGAAGAAAGAAAAATTCAGTAATACCAATATACCTCTTAATGTAATTATTACACTTTCAAATATCAGACTTTTAAAGCAAATGAACAAACCAAATTTGAAACATTGTTGACAACTGTTCATTAGGTGTGTACCCTTTTCATTCTTCTTCTAGATGTGAAAACTGAGGCTACTTCCTACTTCTAAATATCAAAATAGGGGATTTACAACCTTGGCTTGCTCAATAAATCTAACTGATGTTACTTCCGTAGTGAAGGCAAACAATCGCCACAATTCCACCATCCAGTTAATTGATCTGAAACACCTTTTCTGAGCTTCTTGTGAACCACTCACATCATACCTTCACCACCATTTTTTTAGGTAAGTCACTTTGTCAACTAGTAGACGTATCCTGGGATCCAAAGACACGAGTGTGAGAAGCGTACCCGGTTTGGTAATTGGTTTTTGGGCCAGCGGTTCAATCATCTGAATTGAATGGTTCAACCTGTGATAACATAAATATAATAAAAATAAAAATATAAAATATTTATAATATTAAAACATGCCATAAAATGTTTATGAATAATGAAAATGCCATAAAAGTAAATAAAATACAAGAAAAATGCAAAAAAAAATGTCTCAAATAAAATTCCTCTGAAGTCTGAATCACTACTAGGAAATCCCCTTTTGTAGAAATAAAAAAAAGGATAGATTTGAGTTTCGTTTACACAACTGGTGATTAACATTGTTAATTCCCTCCATAATCATTGAATCAGGCATTCAAGTTTGAGGTTTTAATTGCTGGTTTGAGTATGTGTTTGTCTTCTTATTTTATTGTACCCTTTTTTCCATGCTCCTGCCTCTGTAAATGTAGAGGCCCTACAGCCCTACTAATTTCAAGTCCAACTGTAACTAGTAGAAAGATTCTTGCCCTACAGCCCTCCTTTGTATGAAGGGATATAATTTGCAATGATAGAATCAACTGCTTGCAGTGAACAAATAAGACGCTCCAAAAAATGAAGGAGGTTTCTTTGTTTTCTTTCGACAATTTAAAAGGTGGAAAAAACAAATTCATTTTGGGGTACTGACCTAGTCCCAAGGTTTTTAAAACCGAATAGGTTAGGGTTTGGTTCTTGGGTCAAATGGTCTGACAGTTTGAATCGAATGGATGATTCATTTTGACAAAAAACTAAAAATAAATTACAAAAATTAAAAAATAAAAAATGGTCAAAACCGTTAGACGGTTCAAACGGTTTGACCGCTCAGGTCAGCGGTTTGCTGACCAAATCAACGGGTTTAATAACGGTTTTGGGGTAAAACAGAACCAATCACTTGACCGGTTCCTAGTTTTTCCAGTCCAATCCGGTTTTGAAAACCATGCCTAGTCTCTTATTATACCCCTATTTACTGTAAAACACTGTATTTGGTTGCAATGCAATTTTATTTGCACTAGTATAAATACTTGAGAGTGCAAATGAAAATAATACAAATTTTGGTTTAATTTTATTTTGAGTTATATTTTATTCTGCTTCAAGTCTAACTTTGCTTCATTTGTACTGCAATCAAAACAAAATAAGATAAATTTTAAAATAAAAATAAATCCTAATTTACATTGACATCATTTGCACTTCCATGGTTTTGCGCATCAGTGCAAGTAAATTTGCATTGCATCAGAACATGATCACCGCTACAATTTTTGGGTTA